GAGCTGATGGCCTTTTAAGAGACAAAAACGCAACACAACAAATACAGAAATGGGTGTGACATCATTTCCCAGACCATCTGATGCTACTTTTTCTAAGCAGATGTGTTTTCTCCTGCCAAGCATGTCCAGTCTCCGGTCACAAATGGTTCTAAGTCCCAGTGGCTTAGAACCAGTGGCCAGGTGAGCAGCTGACCCAAGAAAGGGCAGAGAGGCAGAGCCATCCCTTGACCACCCATGGCATGGCCCAGCTCATGGGAGGGTGAACAAGAATTGCTGGTCACTATTCTGTCTTCAGTTTTCAACAATCTCTCTTATTCTTAGTGTGGCCATGACCACAAGGGGAGACTCATTGAAAACCCTCTGATTTTCTTTTTGGCCAGGAATTGTGAACCCACCAATACCCAGCTTCATCGACCTTCTTCTTGTTTATTAGCCTTTTGGGGGTGGAGGCGCATCACAAACCCAGACCAGACCATGGTGAGGGGCAGTTGTCATCTGAAATGGTCACCTCAGTAGGAACCATGAAATAAATCTTCATTCGTATAGACAAAAATGCTATCAACACTGAAAAAAAGATTTGGAATGATGACTCAGGCCCCCCCAGATCAACAAAATGCAGGATCCCATGGTGGCCTTATGAAATATACAGGCTTGAAGGCAGACTGGTTCCCACAGACAGGATAAAAAGTATTCTGTTTTCATTTCCATCCCAGAAAATTTAGCCAGTGTCCTGGCTGGCCATATTGTATAGAAGTCAGTTCAACTATAGATCCCTCCCACCCCTTGTTTGTAAGAGTTACATTGTAAAAAAAAAAAAAAAAATCAACAAACTAATTAACTTGATGAGCTATCTTTCCTTGATTCAGTCAGAGAAAGTGTTTTTGTTGGGACTCCATGTGTTACCAGGAATCTGTGTCGGCTACCAGTATTCTGTGCTGGGTTCTTGATGTGGCCGCAGAAGAGAATTTCAGAGCAAGTCAAAAGTAGCAAAGCAGTTAATGAGTTTATTAAAAGTGAAAGCAACAATAGTATACACTTTAGGGCGAAGTATGGGTGAACAAAAGGAAGAGTCATGCTGGGAGTCTTTGACCTGTGGGTTTTGTGATCCACAATAATGAAGGAGTGGAATATTCTATTAAAGGAGTAGGTTTTTCTAAGAGATGGGTGTCCATTCCTGGAACTGGGGTGCCACTCAATTTGTTGCTATAAATGGGCAGGGTTGGAACTGTGATCATGCTGGAGGGTGTGTCATTTACTACGTTAGTAAGCATATAATGAAGATAAAGGTTAAAACAAGTCCACTTGGTTATTTGTGTGCATGCCCAGGGAGATTCTCCATCTCTGCCATGTCTGATAATCAGCACTCAACAACAAATGTCCTAAGCAGGCTGCAGCAGGTATGTTGGGTGAGAGTAATTTCGACTTTTCTTTTTATAAAAAACCTTTCTATCAGTCTTGAAATTTGGGCAGTTTTGTAAGAGTTTTCATAGGTTTCTGCATTTTCCCTACAGCCTCCTACAACCCTGATATTTCCCGACCCTCACCTGTCTGCTCTATCACATGTCGATACTAATTCTGATGCTAGGTGCCGTTGAGAACCCAGAATTTGCTGTCCTGAATATATAAACTGTGCTGAGACAGCCAAAGGCAGAAGGCCCAGTGGAGATCTAGCCTGACGATGCACTCTCTCCTGTACATCAACAGTAAGGCTCACAGCCTGGTGGGTAGCATGAACTGGCGGTTCCTATTCCTACAAGAGCTGATATTCGCTAAGATTACCTATGTGCCAGGCACTGTGCTCAGTGCTTTCCATGTGCTATCTCACAGCACTTAATCTCACAACAGCCTTATGAAGTGAGTTAATATCATGTCTGTGGCTAATCTCTCAGGCTCACAAATGGAGATAACGTCTCTGAAGTCACCAGGCTGGGGAATGAGGAAACTGAGATTTGAATCCCAGGTTCTCCCTGACTCCTGAGTCTGTGCTGTACTGATTATTTTAGGAGTTAAGCGTTTGGAGGACGGAGGCCCATGTTATCCTCGTCTTGCAGAGATTTAGCTTCTGATCTATTTTCTGGGGGGTTTAGGGCAGAGATCAAAGTGGCCTGCCCCAACTCAAGGCAGGGACAATGGAACAAGCCCCGCAGGGCCAGGTTAGCTGATATGAGTGCTATATCCCGTTGTTAAGTCTGAACTCCCTTCTGTCCTCCCACCACCTCCTGTTTTAATGACAAGGAAGTAGATGCTATTACTTTCCTTTCAGACAGCTGGAAAAAGAAGGTGGGTTTCACTGAATGAGGAAGAAGTCATGTAAACAGATACTGCCCAGGCAGGATAGATGGCATGCGGGAGGGCACGGGAGAGCTGGTGGGGCTACAGCATGGCATCAGATCTTAAAGGGCATTCACTGCAGGCTGTGCAGAGGCCTGGACTGTACCCCAAAGTTGTACAAAGAGGCTGGTAATCAAGGACACAATCAGATGGGCGTGCAAGAAAGAGTGCTCCCAGACAGAATTCTTATTTCCCGTTATGTGGAAACCAGGCTTCCCCAGATGCGTTGCTCCTAACAGACAAATGGAGACATGAGTGTGTCTTGGGAAGGCCGATAGTTTGGTTCTTCTTTACCTGGCATTATTTCGCTATTTGTTCAAACTCTTTTTCAAAGAGAAGCTGAATTCTAGGGTAGGCAGGTGATTCCTGGTGGCAGCACTCAGCCTTTGTTCTGAATGATCTGTTTTGGCCTCAACTTTGGAAACTACATTCAACAAAGCAAAAGTCCCAGAGTGAATGGAAGTCTGTTTAGTGGTCAGCTCATTTTCCAGAATATATTTCTTGGGTTCTCATCTCCTAACATAAGTACCTAACTTTGGTGGCTTAAAAATGTGTCTGGGCTGGGTGCAGTGGCTCAGCCTGTAATCCCGGTACTTTGGGAGGCCAAGGTGAGAGGATTGCTTGAGTCCAGGGGTTCGAGACCAGCCTGGGCAACTTAGTGAGACCTCATCTCTATAATAAATTACAAAAACTAGCTAGGCATGGTGGCATTCATCTGTAGTTCCAGCTACTTGGAAGGATCACCTGAGCTCAGCAGGTCGAGGCTTTGGTGGCTGTGAACATGCCACTGCACTCCAGCTTGGGCGACAAAGACTGAGACTCCAGTTCAAAAAAAAATTGTGTCTGAATTCTACCTGTGGTCATAATGGAGAAACATAGGGCAGAGTTACCCTCCCACCCTCAACAACTAGAAAGTCAGATGAAATATGTGGAGTTAAGGTTTCCAGACACTGGAAGCAGACAGCACGGGACTGCTCCCTTGGAGACGGCAAGTAAATGAAGTGAAACTTACAATATCTGAAATGAAAACTATATCAAATGAAATTACAGATTAGACACTTCAGAAGAAAAGATCAGTGATATGAAAGCACAGCAGTAGAAACTATCCAAAACAAAGTACACAGACAAAAAGACAAGAATAAATAACTAAATAAATAGCATATCAGTGACCTATGGGATAATATCAAGTGACCTAACACATGGGTAATTGGATATACAGAAGGAGGGGAAGAGAATGAAAAAAATTTGAAGAAATAATAATAGCAGCCAAAATGTTTTCAAACTTGATGAAAACTATAAGCCTACACATCCAAGAAGCTCAGTGAACTTCCCCAAAAGAAAAAACATATAAAAACCCAAAACTATGTCACATCATAATACAATAATAAAAAATCAGTGATCAAGAGAAAATCTTAAAGTCAGAGAAAAACGACACATTCCATGTTAAAGAAGGATCAGAATGAAAGCAGACTTATCAGCAACTATGTAACCCAGAAGACAATAAAGTGACATCTTCAAAGTACTGAAATAAAAATTCTGTCTACATATAATCATGCCTACTGAAAATATTTTTTTTAAAAATTAAGGCAAAATAGTTTTTTGACTAACAAAAGTTGAGAGAATAAATTGCCAGTAAACTTGAACTATAAGACTTGTAAAGGTAAATTCTTCAGACAGAGGAAGATACAAAATGGAAGTTTAGATCTACACAAAGGAAGAAAAAGTGCCAGAAATAGTAAATATATGCATAAATATAAAAAGATGTATTTTTATAATATTTAAATATTTTTAAAAATTATTGGTTGTTTAAAGCAAACATAACAACAATGCATTAGGATCTGTAACATCTAAGAAGTAAAATGTGTAATAGCACTACCACACAAGATGGAGCTACTGTTTATGATTTTTACCCCATATTGAAGTGATCTAATTTTTTTATGGGAACAAATTAAAGGTACATATTACAAACTCCATAGAAACCACTGAAAAACAAAACAAAACAAAACACAAAAGTATAGTTAATAAGCCAATCATGAAGTTATACAAAAATCATAAAAAATGACTGATGCAAAAAAAAAAAAAAAAGCAGGAAAAGAGGAAATAGAGAACAAATGACAAATAAAATCCATGGAAAACAAATAGAAAAATGGCATATTCAAACCCAATTATGTTGTTAATTACTTCAAATGTGAATGGTCTATTGATGCCAATCAGAGATCGTCAGTTTGAATAAAAAAAAAAAGAGTGCAAGACCCAACTAAATGGTTTCTGTGAGAAATCTATTTTAAATATAAAAACTTAAGTAAAAAGTAAAAGGATGAGAAAGATATACTATACTAACACTAATCAAAAGAAAGCCAGAGTGGCTGTATGAATGTCAGTCAAAAGAGATTTCAGAGCAAGAAATATGAGAGGAATATTTCTTTCTTTTTTTTTTTTTTTATGAACACAACTGACATTTAATCAAAAATCTTTTAGTATTGAGGACATCCATTGTCTTTTGTTCAGGAGTCAAACAAAATTTTAGTAACCAAACATATGTGAAACAAAATTGTATACATATATATATGTAAATAAGCAATAAAACAGCACCAAGGACCTCTGTAAAATTTCACCATACAGTTTCTATGTAGGCTGCATCACCAATAAATGGCACTTAATTTGTTTTAAACTCATGTGACTGCAGAAAACTGTTTATCAAAAACTAGGTGCAATTTTCCATAGACATTTCAGACATTCAAATCGATAGTCTATATTCTGAGGAACAACTTGAGTCACACAGGTTAAGATGACAACACTTCAAATAGTGTTGAAGATGTGAGGCGATATGCACTTGCATTGGCCTTGCACTTCCTCAGACTTAGGCTGCCCTCATCAGGAATAGCTTCTATCCCTCAGAGATCAGCTACATCAAGATGGCTCATCAGCTAAATCACGCTGGTCAAAATACCTGCGAACCAAGCAGATGAATAAATTCAAAGCAGGAATTCTTTCATCATCTTTGTTATCCATTAAGAACCTCACTTCAGAACACCTCCTTGCAAGCTGCCGAATCAGTGAATGAGCCTCAGGTAATAAAGGTTTTTCAAGACAAGCCAACAAAGCATAAAGCCATCTTCCCACTTCTGGAGTAAAGTCTCTTTCTCCAAACCAATTATGCAGATATTCCAAGACGCTGGTTACTGTTGCCTGATTCATTCCGCTAACAATACTAAGCAAGGGAGGAAAACCAATTTGTACATAATCAATTCCAGGACTCTCATTAGTAGCTGGTCCAACAGCCCCTTCAGCATAAAACCTTTCACCCAGACAAAATTTGTTCCAGCCTTCTTCATCTTCAGATTTTGACTTGGCCACATTACTATCCAACTGTTGTGATTTCCAGTGACTTCTATGTTTGTTCACACTCTGTCGAACAGTTGAAAACTGTGCTACTTGTTGCTGTTGCCACTGAAGTGTAGGGGAATAACCTGCAGGGGCAGGCTGGCATCCTGAAAGAGAAACATTCACACTTTGCTTCCTTTTCAACTTCTTTGGGTCAATCTGAGCTACCACAGCATCTGGACATTGAGCTGCTTCGATCTGGACCCACCTCAGGTATTCCTGAGGCATCCTCGGGGGTACCGAAGGATCGAAGCCTTCCGTCAGGTCGCAAGGCTCCACTGGCAACAGCCGGGGCATCAACTCTTCCACGATGGACTCCGCGGGTACTCACGCCATGGCTTTCAAGCCAGCCCGACCCCGAGAGGAATATTTCATAATGAAAAAGGAGTCAGTTCATCCAAAGGACAGAGCAAACCTAAATGTTTATGCAACCAATAATAAGACTTGAAATGCATAAAGCAAAAATGGATAGAACTGTAGGAAGAAATATAAGCATATATAGTTGAAGAATTCAGCATTCCTGTGGTAGGCTGAATAATAGTCCCTTAAAGATGTCCATGTCCTAATCCTTGGAATCTGGGAATATATTACCTTACACAGCAAAGAAGAATGAAGGTTGTAGCTAGAGTTAAGGTTGATGATTAGCTGATGTTAAAATAGGAAAGTTAGCCTGGAAGAGCAGGCCTAATGTAATCATATGGTCCTCAAGAGTGGAAGGGAGAGAAAGAAGAGGAGGTCAGGGTGATGTGACATGAAATATACTCAATCTGTCATTGTTAGCTTTGAAGACGGAGGAAGGGGCCACAAGCCAAGGAATGCAGGCAACTTCTAGAAGTTGGAAAAGGCAAGGAAACAGATACTTTCCTAGAGTCCCAGAAAAAAAAGCAGTCCTGCTGACACCTTGATGTTAGCCTACAGAGGTCCATGCTGAACTGTTCTGACCTACAGAATTGTAAGAGAAAAAAATTTATGTTGTTATAAGCTACGAAGTTTGTGGTAATTTGTTGTAGCAGCAATAGAAAACTAATACACTCATATCAGAAATTGATAAGACAAGTAGACAAAAAAAAAAAACAACAGTACAGATATAGATTTGGACAACACTAACAAACGAGACCTGGTGATTTATATCTAAGGAATAGAATCCAGTGACGGATGTGTCACATCTGAAGAGGTCATAAAAGGTGACACAGCTTCTGCCTAGGAATCCTTCTGTCTCTTCCATTAAAAACTCAGTCTTGGATTGCCTGAGTCCGCAGGTTCGAGACCCGCCTGGGCAACTTGGTGAGACCTCATCTCTACAATAAATCAAAAATCAGCCGGGCGTGGTAGCGCGTGCCTGTAATTCCGGCTACTCGGAAGGCTGAGGTGGAAGGATCGCCGGAGCCCGGCAGGTCGAGGCTGCGGTGGGCGGGAGCGGCCACTGCACTCCGGTCTGGGTGACAGACGGAGACTCCAACTCAAAAAACAAAACAAACAAACAAAAAAACCCTCAGTCTCTTTGTTGTAAAGAAGTCTCAGTCACAAGGACAGGTTACGTTTAGATGTTTTATCCGACAGCCTCCACTAAGATCCCAGCCACCATCATCCGCCAGACCCGTTGCCTCACGAGTCTTAGATGACTCCAGCCTCCGCCTTCAAGCCACCCCAGCTGACACCAATTAGAGCAGGTTTGAGCTACTGCCTGAGCACCCTGCTCATGGATGAGCAAAATAAACACTGTCATCTTTTTTTTTTCCTCCTTCAGAGAAAAAGTTGTTTATTTCTCTCTCTTGTGAACAAGTCTCAGGTAGGCCGTAGACAGTCCACGGCTGTTCATCCATCAGGACCGACGCTCCTTCTGTCTTGCTGACGCCATGTTTGGTTGTCAATTCGTGGTCCAGGATGGTTGCTTGAGTTCCAAACATCATGACATGTTCCAGGTGAAACAAAAGAAAAACAGAAAAAAAGGCACATTCCCTACCTGCTTAGTTCTCGTGGGCCAGAACTCAGCCACATGCCTTCATCTAGCTATAAGCTGTGGGCACTGTGCTCTTAATTTCAGATGGCTACAGATTCAGATACAAATTCAGGGTTCTATTACCCCTGTGGATAGTATTAGATACCGGGGTGGGCAATTAATACTGTTTGTCTGCTAAAATACGCCTCTGTTACGTTCTTTTTAGAAGATAGTCACATACCATACAATTGACTATTTTAAAGTTTATAATTCAGTGATGTTTTGTGTATCCACAGAGTTGTGCAACTATCGCCACTGTTTAATTCCAGACCATCTTCATCTCTCCAGAAAGAGACTCCGTCCATGTTAGCAGTCACTCCTCATTTCCCCTCTCTCTAGCCCCTGGCAAACCATTGATCTGCTTTCTGTGTCTATGGATTTGCCTGTTCTGGACATTTCATATAAATGGAATCATATACAGTAACCTGTGGCCTTGTGTGTCAGGCCTCTTTCAATTAGCATAACGTTTTCTGGGTTTATCCATGCTGCAGCATATATCAGCACTTCATTCCTTTTTATGGCTATACCACATTTTGTTTCTCTATTTATCAGCTGATAGACATCTGTGTTGTTTCCACTTTCTGGCTATTATGAATAAGGCTGCCGTGAACATTTGCACACAAGTTTTTGTGTGAGCATATGTTTTAAATTCTCTGGGGTATATACCTAGGAGTGGAATTGCTTGATCATACGGCCACTCTATGTTTAACTTTTTGAGGAACTTCTGAACGATTTGTCACAGTGGGTACTATATTTTATATTCTTACCAGCAATTGGTAAGAGTTCTAACTTTTCCACATCCTTGTCAACACTTGCTATTTTCTATTTTTAACTTATAGCTATCCTGATGGATGGGAGGTAGTGTCTCATTGCGGTTTTGATTAGCCTTTCCCTAACGGTTAATAATGTTGAGCAACTTTTGTGTGTCTTTTGGCCACTTGAATATCTTCTTTGGAGAAATGTCTATTCAAACCATTTGCCCATTTTTCAATTGGGGTTTTTTAAAAAAAAACTGTCGACTTCTAGGAATTCTTTAAATATTCCCTAAGTAGATAGATCAGATATATGACTTGTAAATATTTTCTCTCATTCTGTGAGTTGTCTTTTCTTTTTCTTGTTAGTTTCTGGGTCAGTCAGTGTTCTCTAGAAAACAGAAACAAGAGAAGCAATGAAAAAGATTTATTTGTGGGAACTGGCGAGTCTGAAATTCATAGAACAGACCAGTAGAGCAGACTGCCAAGAAAACTCAGACAGGATTAATGATGCAATCTCGAGGCAGAATTTCTTTTTTCTCCTATAATCCTCAGGTTTTTTTTTTTTTGTTTTTTTTTTTTTTTT